AGATTGCTCTTCATTTTCCGTGTTGACACTAGCTAGTGGAATTACATATTCTTTTCCTTAACTTGATAATGCTCATCTTAATTTGAACAAGAGAAGGCAAACTTTCTGCCATATCAATCTCCCCAAACAAAACGCAAGATCTCTAACTTGGTTTTAGAAGGAGATGATTGCCAGTAGACTTAGGTAGTTGGCTATATGAACAGAGAGTTATGCCGTAAATTTCATCAACTTGATGCTCATTAATACCAACAACATCCAATTTATTGTTTCCTAGGTCGTACCAGAAAAGGCTGCAGTCACCACATTCTAACAATATTTTCTGACCACCATTCCTCGAGTAAGCTATCGGCCTGATACAGTTGGAAACATATATTCCCCTATAGATGACAATTGGGATCCTAAACGCATGAGTCCAAGATGCCTTCACCTTATACTCCTTCATCACCCATATATCTACAACCTCATTCTTTGAGTGTGTCACAGTAAGGTTGCCCCCAAGTGTCCCTACTACATCTGCTTTTGTCTTCTCTGGCAACTCAATCTCATGAGACTCCTCGGTGGTGAGATCAAAAGCAAAGACAAGATACTGTGATTTTTGCTCGTAGTGAGCTGCCCAATGCACACTGCTGCCAACAAGCACTGCTTTTGACATATTAAAGTTACTGCCCATAATGTAAGGAACAGGACTACTTTTAATGCTTGTCCTCTTAGGGCTTCTCCAGATTTTGTTTCTCAAACTGAAAACTTTGAACTCAAATCTGCTAAGACAATGGTTTACACAGCAAAACCATATGATTTGCACTATTTTGTAATCATCATCTACGGAATCGTATCCAAGGCCATGAAGAAGGAACATACTATCTTCTTTATAATAAGGTTCCGAGGTTATAATTTCAGGATAGGGAATTAACTGGTAATCTCCTGATAATTTGTTCGAGAGAATGATATTGTAATGTGAGGATAAGAGAATCAAGCTGTTGCATGAACCTCTTAGAATCACTGGCTCGCCTCCATGTGGGACATAGTGCTGTTTCAAAATATGGGGTGAGTCCAAATCTGCCGAGTACACCCTGCATCCGCTGACAATTACCAGGTCTTCCCTCTGGATTTCAGATATCATGGAACGCCATGATTTGGAGACACTCTTAAACCTGCGAACACTTTTGGGATCAGATAATCGACCAATAATGTCTCTAGTCAAGTCATCTGCAAAATCCTTGGCTTTAGCCATGATATTTCAATTTTTACACCTTTTCTCCCCCAGGAAAACATGTATATATAGGCAGAAATAGAGTCCTTTGACTCCTTTCCCGTGTAGGAACAGAAATATAAGACACCATAGAATTCCAATAGAAAAGAAAGGAGTATATATAGTATAGAAACAGAACGTCTTCTTTTTTTTCTTCGGTTTTAATTTTACTTTCAGTCCGGGAAGCCATTAATTGGGGAGGGTGATTTCACATTTAAGGGGCTTATTTTCTATTGATAATTGATTTTCATCCAAAAAAATAATAAAAATAAAAAACGGAGAAGAAAATAGAAATTGAGGGTAGCACGGGTTGGTTGAAGGAATATATTATAAAAAGTAAAAAAATAAAAATTCTTATTTTATAATTTAGTGACGTTTAAAGTATAAGTTAAAAATTATTAGATGTGGGATAATTTTAATATTAAGCATCTTAAAATATAATTTTAATTTAAATTGTAAAAAAAGGTTACTGTATAAATTATAAAATTATTAAAGTATTCTTAAGTGAGCATTTTCTTTTGTTGATTTGTCAAAGGTACTATATAATCTTAGCAGGTATGCTGGGCAGGGATTTCTATGGAATGTTCAATTAGACCATCTACATTGCTAAGAGCCTCCAAGAGTCTCATCTAATGCCACATCATCACTATTTATATTATTTTATTTAACTCACA